AGTGAATTAACAGTCATTTTGTCAAAAATTCCTTTGCTATGATAATACGTTGGGGGTTTTTACAATTAAAAAAAGCTATATCCGTTTTTCGAGTTCTCATGCTTTATGGTCGGTTAAACTTACCCACACAATCCTTACTGATTTTGGGTTTCATATAAGAATATATATGAGTGCAATAAACCACGAGTCAAGAATTTGTAATAACAAAAATTTATCGAAAATATTTTTTTCTTCAAAGTAATTTTGAACCAAAGACCAAAGACCAAAAATAGGTGTGTACGTATATGGTCAAAGAAATTTCACCATGTACGTATACACCTTTTGTCGCGAGCGGCAGTGCCTACTCGCACCCCTAATCATGTAAGCGCGGACCGAACAGATCAACTCGAGCGAGCACACAAATCGGCCGCTTCACCAGCGCTCCGATCTACACGAATAAACGCTTCTGTGTAACTATCACACAACTTGTCTGCCTTTTCTGATCTCTTTCCCAACCGACTACATCGTTCACTAGGCCGCTAGTACGTCGGCAGTCAAGCAAAGCCTACAAATCCTAGTCTGCATTTTTTTTCAGGTCGCTACGCTTTTCATTCTCAAAATCGCAATACATTGAAATTCTCAACAAAAAAAAAATAATAACAATAAAGTTTTTATTACTAATTGAGCTATTATTGGTAGCAAGCGAACGTACTAGTAGTCAATGATATATAAACTCCGTACCCTGCAGATCTAATACGATCGGTAATAACCTTGAGTTGTATTTTATCAGTCCCAAGTACACAGTTTCCCAAATAGTATGCGCAACTGGACTGAAACAAACTTTTCTTCTTCATAAGTCAACAACTTCCAACGGAATTAGACGATTATTAAAAAAATGGTTGTCGCTTATATATATGGTGGATGAAAAAACTTTCAGTGACTGATGTTGCCATTTCTGTGTTAAAATAGTTACGCACGAAATTACGAAGAAATTTTTCTAACCAGAGTACGGCTAACTTGTAGTTTATTAGAAAAATCACAGATTGGGATTCATAAAATCGATTTTCCGAAACTTGTTTTTATTGGAAGAAACGTACTTTATTCAAAAAGTTAGACCTGTAAAAAATTAAAGTTCACGTTTAACTGATCGCCATGTATACTTACAAGTTGAGAAAAAATTTTTTTATTAGATTATTCTCTCAGTTGAAACGCAAGTGAGGGCTCGGAAAATCGCTGAATTATTTAAATATATATAAGCAGCAAAAGCAGCTACATCATCAAAGTTCGGTTAGCCAGAAAAAAACTTGAAAACTGCCTGTTTCGCAAACTTGATCTCTGTGTCTTTTTAAGTCTTACGGTACTCTATATATAGAACTCGCCTACGCTTACTTGTCTCTCCTTTCTTCTTCGGTTTTTTACTTTACCCCTTTTCTTTCGCCGTAATAGCACTACTCGAACTATATAATAGCGTTAGAAAGGTGCGCAGCATTTTTCTTACGGCACTGAACAGTGACTGCGGTGGCAGCGCACGCGAGTTTGGACAGAAAATCTCAGAACGAAGCGTTTATTTGAACCGGAAACAAGCCGATGAAATCTCGCGCCCGAAAGTACTTGTGGAGTTCGAACAAAAGTTTATTCGATTAATTATTACGGTCAACCGAGCCATTGCATCTTCATGATTATTAGCTAAAGCTAGGCAGTTTTATGTTCAGTCCTTCGAGGCCGAAAGGACGTACCTGCATATATGCGTATTGAATGCTTAAATAATGAAAAAAAAGGCAGAGGCGAATGGTATATACATGCGCTTGTGTTCGAGTGAAAAATCAAACGAACAAAGTGCACGTGAAATATTCGAAAGTTGAACGAGCTTTTGTATTATTTATTAATGTGTACACGGGCTGTTGAATAAAGCTATAATAAAGTGCAGAAAAATATACATGTTTGAGTCAAGTTTAATTTGTTGGAAACACGATCATATGCATGCGTGCTTTGCTCACTCAAGTTTTGCCCAATATCATGCCAAACTGCTGTTTCCATTAGTTCATGTGGCGTTAGGTGTATCGTATACGCGTAATGTAGAGAAACGCTAATAATCACAAGAATCGGTCACTGACAAGTATCATTGCGCATTGACTTGTTATTTTTATCGATTTTTATAATTATATAATCATAAACACCAAAGAGAAGTACAGTTCTAATATTTTTTAAATTATTTTTATTTAAGGTAACAAACGTTACTCCGAACCCGAATGTTGGCTATGAATGCAGAATAACTTCCACATGAATGGTGAAAATTTTCTCTCAATATTAAGAGTATGTACGAGCGCATTTAAAGTACATTTAATATAGTTTTGATAGCCACAGTAATCTTGTGGAACATTTTTACACTGAAAAGATATTTTAAAATATAAAAAAAGCCATACATTTTACCTGAATAGCCGGAACAAACATTCCATTCTCTTGGTGGAGTTGGCTCTTTCTTAGCTCGGTATATAAGACGAAAACGAAGAGACGCGACCACAGAGAGCTACATACAGTCTCTACGGCGCGGGTTGTCGGCTCGCTCGCTGGCAGAAACGCTGTACATGATGATGGTTCCTTTGTGCATCACTGGAGGCGGAAAAATAAAAGCTAAACGACCGGAACAAATGAAAGGCTTAATCTCCTCGATGCGCACCATCACGTATGTGCATATAGATTCACGCATCAAATTATGATATGTACCTATATGCGCTAGCTAGCTTACACTTTCGATGTGCTTGCACGCATCATTGAGTCCATTTTCGCTTCTCGCATTCAAGTTCGAGGGCTCTCGGGTATCTTTAACGAGCTCTCGTATATTTCCTAGCTCGAAATTTCGAAATTTCCGCTCTGAAGAACTGAGTGCAGTACCTATTGAAAAAAGGAGAAAATTAATTTTGGCCATATATTTTCATGTATATATCATTTTGAAATATTTGAACTGCAATATTATTATTAAAGCCTTTTAGAACTCGAGAAAAGTAATTATAATTTCCTACGAAATGATTAAAAATATTTCATTGAGATTTTCTTCCCATTAAGTTGATGGTAAAGCAATATATTAAAATAGCTTCAATTTGAAAATACCTCGAATGTGCTCACGTGCAGCAAACGAAATGAAATAAAAGTAAATTAGCGGTACGCATCCTTATATCTATATTGTGCTTCGCAACATCTGTACTTATATCAATCGTTCGCTCGAAGACTACATGTCCGAGCGATAAAGGCCATGCTTTACGATGTCAAAGCAAGCCATTTTACGAGTTATGTCGTAGGAGCGAAGTACTCGGCAACTGACAGCAATTGTCGTCTTTACTTTCCTACATTACAACTATTTCCACGACGCGGAGGCAAGCATCAGCTTCTCAAGCTATTATGCGACGCAGGAGCTGCGATGAAATTTTATTTATGATATTCTTGTTCGAATGCGGGAAGATGCGAGCAACTCCTATCTCGTATTTTCAACTGCCACTCGTTATTCTTTATTGAAATTTATACGCGAACAATGAAAAAATTTAGCCCACAACGGCGGGTATTTGTGAATTTCATATTAAAGTGATTGTGCGCAAATAACCAAAGATTAATTAATAATAGTCGATGTTTCGAAAAAATAGGGCCAAGTACAAAAATATATTATCATCGAGACAGCCTTAAAAGCGAATATTTGAATACTCGCTCTCAACGAAACTCAGCGCAATTGATTTCAGAACAACAAGGCGTTCGAGAGAATGTGGATCTGTATCTATTCTACGTATACATCAGGCGATGAGGATTCAAATAATCACGAAGCCTCTTGAATTGGAACGAACTCTTGGATACGTGCATGCACGCTTGTTTACAGGTTTTTTTTATTCTTTTTTTTACACGGCGAGATGCAACAATGACGCGGCGATGACGCTATCGGATGGATTTGCGTTCTCATTTATGTAAACTTTATCCACTATGAGTTTTCGTATCTTTTCTAAAAAAAACGCAATACTTGAATGATTCTAGTTATAGTACTTGCGATTCTATGGAAAATAACATTTTTCATATCCTTCTCATCCATCACCTATTAAATATTCTCGTCAATTCAATTGTAAATTGAAACAGATAAGGAATGTTTTAAATACAATTAAAATAATTGGATACACAGATTCAACAAATAGATCGATAGAAATTTTAACAGTTAAATTCAATTTTCAGGTAATGTTAAATGCATATGAAATAATACGATATGTGAATTCAACTTATTAATCAAATCAGGTACAACATATTTTGAGACAGAAATATATCTGTAGGGCTAAAAATCAATACAATTTATCGAAGAATCTAGAATGCGAGCGGCACGACGAGTGCGCATCGACGTTACACAAAAGGATTTAACGAAATTAAGACTGTTGCTAAATCAATTAATAACATTAAGACTCTTTCGTCCTCCTACCCTCCGCCCGTCAGTCTCGCGTGTGTGTCAACAACGCGATACAACGAAAAATGGTCAAAGTTAAGAGGTCACTGTCGCACGCGAAAATCCGATCGCTATATATAGCGCGTGGGGCTTGTCTTTTAAACTCACTCTCTCTCTCTCTCTCTCTCTCTCTCTCTCTCTCTCTCTCTCTCTCTCTCTCTCTCTCTCTGTATAAACGTAATTTACAGAATAGAAATTCAACGTATTTACTTCGCATACATACGCGCTTGAAAGAGAGAAAAGAGAAAAAGCAAGAAAAACGCGGATTGCGTGCAGGGCGACTTTTGTTTGCGAATGTATAAGTGAAAAGATACAGCGTACTCATGAGTACGTATGTATGTGAGCGTGTGTGTACTATGTATACGAGTGTGGTGGCGCAGACACGCAGGGGTTTCTTGAATCCACGGATCCCTTAGTTTAGCAATCTCGTTAAGGCTACTGATGTATCACGCAAACTTTGATCTTGACAAAGCTTCTGCTGCTGCTGTTGCTGCTTTCCATCTGATATAAAAGCCGACGATTGTGGCCCGCGCGGACCAAGTGAGCTGCGGACAGCAAAACCAGAGCTTCACGCGCGGTCACGCGTCTCACTTCAATATACTCACACACCTGACCGTCTCTCTCACCCTATCCTTGGCGTGTGGATAACGAAATTTTTATGGTAATTAATTTCACTACCAGCGATTTAATTTTCTTTTATTTTGACGTCTGAATGTGGATCGAGTTATAGTGCCTGACATAATCGAAGTGTGCGAATAAAGTTGTCAACGATTTCAATCGTAAGGGGTACAAGTGAACAAGTGACTTGCTGTGAATAAAATTGTGACTTTTGTACTACTGATGCGACCTTGGAAATTGATAAAAAATATTGTCCCAAGAAACATCGTTCTAAATTTACTTTGACCCACTTGACTATCACCATTAAGAAGCGCAGAGTGAACAATTATATGAAAGCACGCGAACAATTCGACGGCGTTATTTTGAATTAATTTTGAAATTCCAAACCTTGAGAAAATATTAGTTTATTGGAAAAATTATGGAGATTTAACTTATATTATTTTTTAGGAAATTTACGTATAATTGATCGGACGAATTTGAAAAACTGAATAAAAAGAGAAAAAAGCGATCATCGCCAGTCTCAACTGAAGGAGAGAATGTTCAGAAACGGCAGCTCAGCATCCATAGCCCTGCCCTTTGTCGGGCTAGGCGGCGGCATGATGGGACAAATGCCCGGTGGCCTAGGGTAAGTTGTCTTCCGAATTGATCAGTTTTTCTCCTCTATCTTTCACTCCCTCTCTTTCGTCTCCTTTCAATGGTCTCTAGTTCTTCTCTTTTTAATAATCACTCAGCAGCTCTTGGGATGCAGTAGCAGTGACAGAATAAGTAACGGCTCATTGTCCCGGATAATGAAAAGATCGACTTTGCCCGCGAATGATCGGAATAAAGGGGATGAAAAAAAATTGAGAGCTGTGCCTCATATAAATGATGACAACGAAAAAAGTCGAACTTGTTCGAGAGAAATGCTCACGATTCCCAACGCGAGTTCCCGTTATTTTTCATAAAAATCACTGGAAAGCTGCTGAATCTATACGCTGCGTCTTATCGAGAATTCTTTAGCTACAACAGAGGCTTTAGCGTATTTTTTCCTTTTGCACGCGACAGTGCGCAAGAGAGGCTTTGTTTTGAGAAACGTAATCGTCTCTAAAAGCTTCGTTGCGCACAGTATTTGAATACATTTGAACCCGTAGAGATCGATACGTACACACTTTCTGCCTCAGTTGAAAATGACCGAAAGATTTTCTTTTCATTCCTGGTCATCATCAAAGACAAATGCCAAATGTGCAAGATCATCTTCTGGGCTGGAACATTCCTCAGGATCATATGGAGCTCGTTCACCCTCATTGGCGCGGATTTGTAGCACCTGGAAAGTACTGGCACATCGGCATGGCTCTTGTCTACTTCATGCTACTAGTTATGTCATTTGTTGGAAACGGATGCGTCGTTTGGATTTTCAGCACGTAATTAAAGATACTTGTTTTTTTTTTTTTTAGATTAGGTCAATGTTAGTATCAATTTGTCAAGTACATAACTTAATTTGCCTACTTTTTGAGTCAGTACGTACTCTGAATATTTAATCGAATAACTGATTAACGTTTACATGTACTTATAGTCTATACATTTTCAGACTTTACGTCAGCATACTTTTTTTTGATTTCTAGTTTTTTTTTTCAAAAGTTGTGAATCGTTATCAATCTATGACGTAAGCAAATGAGTATTTTTTAAATTAGCAAAATGATAAGTACATTATAAGTTGGAGATGCTTATTGGCATTACAATAAACATGAAATTTTTATATTGTTTCAATTTAGATCAAAAGCGCTGCGAACGCCATCTAATCTCTTTATAATCAATCTGGCTATTTTTGATCTTGTTATGGCCGTGGAAATACCAATGCTAATTGTCAACAGTTTCGTTGAGCGGCCAATCGGTTGGGAACTCGGCTGTGACATTTACGCAGCTCTTGGTAGTGTATCAGGAATTGGCTCTGCGATCACGAATGCAGCCATAGCTTACGATCGATACAGGTTGCCCTTTAGATCTATTTTGATCTTACAAAAAAAATTAGACATCATTGAAATTTTGTAAATGATTTTACAGAACCATTTCCTGTCCCATTGATGGACGACTCAACGGTAAACAAGCTGCAGTCATGATCGTGTTTACTTGGTTCTGGGCAATGCCATTCACTGTACTGCCTTTCGCTAAGATTTGGGGTCGTTACACAACAGGTGATTGTCGGCGAATCGCTTTTATCGATTGGAACTCATGAATCGAGTTAAAAATAATTTCAATTATCGTGAAACTTTTTACAGAGGGATTCCTGACGACTTGTAGCTTTGACTTCTTGAGCGACGATCAGGACACAAAAGTTTTCGTGGGTGCAATTTTCGCCTGGTCTTACTGCATCCCGATGATGTTCATCGTTTATTTCTACTCTCAACTCATAAAATCTGTAAGGCGACACGAGAAAATGCTTCGTGAGCAAGTAAGTGTGCAGCATGACATTTCGCCTCGCCAACTTTTGCTCAGGCGACGAAAACCCTGTTTAATTAAACGGGACTAGACAAATAAAAAAGTTGTTACTCAGAAATGAAAATGAACTGACATCAACTTTTTATTTATGTATCTAGGCTAAGAAGATGAATGTTAAGTCTCTGGTGTCTACTGGTCAGGACAAAGAGAGAAGCACAGAAATGAGAATTGCTAAGGTCGCTTTCACCATTTTCTTTTTATTTGTTTGTGCCTGGACACCATATGCTGTTGTCACTCTTATTGCTACTTTTGGAAATCGGTACAAAATATTCAGCAAATAAAACAAATATTACGATGAATCAATAAATTAAAAATTCATTTCTCTCTTTCAGGGAGTTAATTACACCATTTTCAAGCATGTTACCGGCTGTGTTTGCTAAAACGGTATCTTGCCTTGACCCATGGGTTTATGCCATCAATCATCCAAGGTACTGTTATAAAAATAATGAAATTAATAATTATATGTTAGTAATCCAGTTACTTTTAACAGCTTTCCGATAAGGGTGAACTAAAAACGTATTATTATCTGCAGATATCGTCAAGAATTGACTAAACGTTGCCAGTGGATGGGAATACACGAGAATGAGCCTAGTGGTGGTGGGCAAGCCGAGGCGGTATCAGTGACCACCGAGAGGTTGAAAAACGACGATGCTTAAAGGGAAAGCCCAAGGAAATGCTCACTGGCTTCGCCGCCGTCGGTAAAAGAGTGAACGACCGTCGAGCCACCACGCGACGGTTGTTATGCTGCGAAAATAAGAGTGAACCATCAGAGGGTTGTTGAGTTTGTTGGGACTCTAAATTTATCGTTTGAGCTTGAACCAATGGATTAATGCATTCGATTTGAAAAGAAATTTTTTGGAACTATGAGATTTCTCACCTTTCAAAGCTTAACATTTTAAAAGAATTTACTAGTATGCAATGCATATTTTATGATTATCTATTAGCGTGTAATGATTTAAATTATTTGTAAAAAATGTACAGCAATAACGAGACACTATGATATATTTGTAAGGAATCGAATATGTAATAGGCTTTATATTATATACATTGTATGAACTTTGTACAAGTACATTTATACACACACTCACACTTACACAACAATCAGGTTGGTAATTTATTGATCCAAACAAAATTTGTTTGAATATAGCTGAGAGAAGTTTATTGGTAAAAAAATATTGTTCTAGAAAAGATTATTTGAGTTAATGAGACTAAAACTGAAGCTAAAGTGGCAATGTGGAAAAAAAAGTTGTCGGCTATCATATTGATATGAATTGCAAGTTAAAATTTAATAACCCTAATTTTCAGTGACGATTAGTACATCAATATTTTTGACCAATGAGTTTTTCATCATTTACTACTATGAAACTAGATTGGTTTTATTTCTAAATAAACGTACCATGATATGTGTCAATAAATTATTATACTTCTGGTAAGACAAATCATACGTATTGTTTTTATTATGATAACCCAAAATTAAATAACTAATCAAATTTAAAAATGATCGAACGATTCGATTAGTAAAAATTTATTATTATTGTTTTCTGTAATTTTTAATAAAATTCATAATTTTGGAAGGTAATTTCCATGCAGCTTTTCCAATCATCGTGGATCGTCTGGAAATTTTTGAATCTAATTTAATGCGTAATTAGTCGGTGTATGTTAAACCTGGTTCACGACTAAATTCAAACAAGCTGCAAGCACACATCGACGGGGTAATTGTCTATGCTGAAAATTTCAATTCTCGAAGGTGCAAAGCAAGCTGTATAGCGTAGTAGTCGTAACCTGGCGTTATATTATACAGCACATAGCGAGAAGCAGCAGCAACACGCAGCCGGTGCCATTTCCTGAGGTCTGCCTGTGCTTGCGCACGCGCACGTTCCACGCTAGTCGTGGAGAGAAATGCTGAAAATTCAATTACGCGGGATTTATGGCAGTCACCCAAGCATATTTATCGTACACGAGAATGCTTGCCGCTGCTCCCGCACTATGTGTGCGTCGCGTCGTCGTTGTTGTCGTCGTCCTCCTCTCTCTCTCTCTCTCTCCCGCTCTCTATACACAAGGACATGCGGTAGTATTCCTGCCGGCAAGCCGCAGAATGCGTCAACTTGTGCACGTAATTTGAATAAAAACCGGAAACGTAACTTGACTAGAGAGATTTTCGATCAACGAAGAGCAACAACGAATAAAAAGAAGGAAAACTGTTATTTTACTCAAGCAGGGCTCCTATACGCGCACGCCTACTTTTCCGCACGTAATGGTAAATAATATAATATCCAGCCACGAAGTTACATGAGGAATTACATGAGGTTATCGTGGGAAATATTTTTTTTTCCAATAAGCAACGCGCTCGCGTGCAGAGGGTGCAGCAAGAAAAAGCTGCAGAAGCAAAAATATAAGGATAGAGAGAGAGAGAGAGAGAGAGAGAGAGCATAGCTGTTTACATGTACGCGCAATCCGTGCGCGGCGCATTCAAAAAATAAACTCGTAGAGCTGACGAGCTAGTAACGAAGATGCGCCACATCTCTATCCATTTCCTACCAGCACGCCGAACAAATTGAAGCATGTCACGACGATGCTTGCATTTTCGAAGCGTACGTATATAGAAGAGGCGCGCAGCATATATACGAACGACCACCGCCTGCACCGTCAAGATGCACGTAAGATTCGCGCGTGTATGGATCTAGGATACACTTGTGCTCAACTACCAGCGCTGCAGGCGAAAAATATTTTTTTTTCCTTCCCCGAAGGAAAAGTTAGTAGGATAGAAAAATATTCGTTTTTATCTTCGACGGAGCTATTGCTCGGGCGTTTCTGCACACGCACACGTATACACACATATATACTGATATATTTTTACCCTCTTGCACAAGTCCAAAGTTGAACTCGTTTCGATGTCTGCGCGTACACACGCGGCGTAGCTTTTATGTCTACGCAAACTTGCGAGCATGTACAATATTGCGCGTTTCAAGTCGCTCGGCTGCAACGTGTGTGCATACGTACATATTTATCTCTCTCTCTTTCTCTCTTTGTGCAAGAGCGCGAGCATCAATGTATTATCGACTTCGACTGTTTTACAAAGCGCAGCAAACTTTCATTCCAGAGCTTCTATTTTTGTGCCTAGAAATGCGATGGAAAATGATTTATGAAATTTCGAGAATGAGATATTAGAATTCAAATTATTTTTCGGGAATTGAAAATATTGAGAAAGAGATGATAGGAAATCAGGCTAAATGTATGGAATTGTATTAAAGAAGTTCGAATTTGCTTCAATCGATAATTGCACTGCTTCGAGATTGAAAATTTGAAAAATCATATTGTTCAAACTTTGAAATCATGAGCAGAGAGAAAATTCGAACTATACTTCAGAGCACCGAGATCAAAGGCAGCACGTGTAGCCTAATGACGCAAGATTTGCTCCCAAAATTTATCACGGAAATACTTTGACAACTCAACGCGAAAGGCCTTGTGCTAGCAAGAGAATTTGGACATAATGTATATAGAGCATGGCAATTAAGAACGGGGAAATTTACGCACGATGGACTCATTAACATTGATTGTGCATAGTTTTTAACTTTCTTTAACTTTGACGTTGTTCGCGAAAAACTTAAGTGTATTCTCGATAACGAATTCATGAGCCAACAGCTGTATAAGAACTGCCGCAAAAGCAGTGAGGCAGAAGAGCCGAGGTAACAAAGGGTTGCTAATAGCTGCTCTGCTCGCGCGTTTCGTAATGAAAATTTAAAAAAGGTAATTAGTAGCTCCGAGGGAATCCATGGCGCTTATTTTACAAAAATATGTACTCGAAATGAGTATCTTTCAGCTGCTCCGCGTGAATTATAATTTCGTAGAGATGAACGCTACAACTACCCATAATCCTTTAAGCTTTCATAGCTCCTTTGATGTTTGTGTTTTTTCTCAAATCAAACATGTTTACCAACGTCTTTTGAGCGAGCTTCTATACGGTTTTCGCAATATTCCTGCCACACTTATATTCTTAAAATATTTTGCTCGGCGTCGATTATTAGTAGAGCGTATAAACTCAGGACTGCTCACTTGAAAATACCATACGAGCCAGCCTATTTACAGAGTAACAAGCGCATAATTAGTTTGACGAATTCTAAGACTTCGGTGCATTCTCGTTTCGGGAAACTCGACGCATGAGAGAAACTCTATTTTCGAGTCGTAGCAAAGCTACTTACCCAACAAAGATACAAATAAAATTTCACGAAAAAGTACATAACTCAGCAACTCAAAGCCCCACGCCAACATAATTAATTAAATTCACTTTGTACATTTACATCATTTTGAAATTCAATTGGCGTTGCTCACTAAAAAAAAATTTCATAAATGTTGCTATTGAGCGCAGGACAGACGTGTAGGATGCATTTGAGAGAGCTAAAACAATTACGCGTTGAATGAAGGAACATGGATTCAAAATAGTTTTGAAAATTTAATAAAGGAAGACTTGGTTACTGCTCGCTAATGTAATGTAAAATTTTACATTTAAAACTAACATCTTAGCACGAAGTTCCATCTTTCTAATATCCTGACAAAAGTCAAGGAAATTGCAGCAATAAAGTTCTGACTTCGTGATACGAACTGTTCATTCTGACATACTTTTTTCTCTGTGTAATCCGACAAAACAACGATTCAGAGCACCTGATACTGCACAATAGCGAATATGATTCTCGGGTGTATTACGTTACATGGAAAAAATGCTGGTCTTCAAACGCCAAACCTTCTTTTCGAAACTGAAGGGTCCACAGGTGGTTTACGGAGAACTAGGGAACTGAAATTTCAAAAGTGTTACTTTTTCATAAGGTGCTTTTTTCGTAAATTCGCCTCGATAAACTCAGCCAAAAAAGTATGGTTCAAAGCTCGTATATTTTTTATCAAATAGAAAACCAATTTCAACGATATCACCTCTTCTTCTCGGAGTCGTTCTGTAAATAACAATTTCAAGGAAGGGGAGGTGTCAACTTGTAAATCAATGTAATCTTAGTGAACGCTTTTTGTGAATTTTGGACGTGCTTATCTGAGCAACGTAAAAATTCACTAGTCAGAATTTCCATTAATTTTTTTCGTCAACATAAATCTTTCCATTTTGCTCAAGAGCAGGTCCTAAAGCAGTCTCGGCTATGAAATTCATTTATCATAATATCTTTGTCGTTGTAAATAACGATCTTTCAGCGCCATATAAGTGTAAAACATAATACGTACAAATAGTGCATCTCTAGATTCTTCTTCTCGCCTTTCTCTTTTTTTCTTTTTCCTTTAAGTCATCCAGATTTCTCATCGCGAAGTCGTAAAAATTTTCACGAGCTTTGGCCTATCCTCTCGGCGTAAAATAGTCTCGAGAAAGAAGGTTATCTGGCAACCCACATTCGTGCGGTAGCGGCAAACTGCAAATAGCAAAAACAGTCACTAGGCTCCGCGCTTTAGATCTGTATGCGTATATTTGTATGTAAGTGTGTATGTGTGTGTGTAGGTGTATACGTATGTACGTATGCGAGCACGACTCAAAACGAAGCGAAACAAACCACAACCGCAATTAAACAGGTCGAGATTGCTACCTTTGAGAGACAGAAAGTGAGAGAAACGGAAAGCGAACGGAGGGGGGCTCAGCTCTATGTGCGTGTGTGTACACAGATTCATTCAATGATTCTACGGGAAAACCTTGCTCGCGCGAGCAAATTGGGCAAAATCGACCGAGTGAGTGTATATCTTGCGTTTCGGATCATGCTAATTGGCTTTTTTTCGAATTTATCGTTCAATCGAAAGTCGGTGCGTTGAATCGGTAATTATGATTTCGCTCGAATTTATTTTTACGATCCAACAGGTTTTTTTTATTACTTTTTCAAATATACTGGCGTAATTCAAGTCAGCCGCGTAGTCATTAAGAACAAATTCAAGCATTCGTGCGATAGTCTTGATTGCTTCATTTGTAAGAGTTACACGTGCGATAAAAAAATTTGTTACCGCAATAATTTTCAACAAATTCAAAGTATCAATTAAAAATCAGTCTGAACACGAAAAATCCAGGCCAAGAGGGGTGGAAACCAGTTTTTTTTTCTCTCTGAACCTTAAATGAGATTTGAGTTTAATCCATCACGCAGCGCGCGCGAGCAGCCGAGCGCACAGAGCGATCCTAGACAGTGTACGGTACAGAGTTGCGCACTTGTCGCATTACACATTCATCAGAACGCACCCCCGGCCACGTATAACAGCTAGAGTTGCATGTAGCGCGCGGCGCGTGAAAATTCGAGCAGCCCCCGTGTTCGGGAATCGTCGTCCAGTGGCGCAGATTTACCAGGTGCTGAGTGTTTCAGCACACGAGTATCTACAAAAGGAGAAAGCAAGACTTTAACACACGTGATTTAGCCCCCCCTAATACGAGCAGCAGCCGCAGCAATAGCGC